ACCAAGGGTGTACATGGATTCACCAATCCAATCTCACGAAGTCAGAAGCCGACCGGAAGGTCGCTGCCGAGTACGTCGACAAGCAGTACAAGAAGGTGCAGCGATCCCTGGAAGGACTGGTTGAGATTTCAAAGGACCCCCGTGTCATGTCTGTGCAAGTCATCGGGAACGGTGACCATTCCGGATACTCATTGCCGCCATCTTACAATCGTGAGATGGGCAAGCACATCAACTGGCTGGCGGAGCGCGGCATTCAATGTGTGAACTCCACTATGCTCGCTCAAGGTGGTAAATACGACAACTACCACTTGCACGACCACCAGTTTAACCGGAAACTGGTTTATCGTTTCTTGAGAGGAGCCATCACCTTCCACCTCAAATACGTTGAGCTCATGTCGAAGCAGGACGAGCTCAGGTACTTTGTGAAGAAGTTCATCAGCAACGAACAAGACCGTGTGGCCGCGGTCCATCTCTTCCCCACGATGGTTCAGTTTCGTTTGGCTTTGCTCGGCACTCAAGAGGTCATGGAAGCCGTCTCCACTGAGAAGAAAACGGCAACCCCTGCCCAGGTCTTTGATGAGGCAGATGAGGAGATCCTCATGTGGGTCCATGCAGGAATCCTTGAGGCCAACGAGGAAGCCACCCGGGAGGGAAGGCCGATGCCCACAGCTTTCACTGATGAAGAGATCAGCTCCATCGTCCCAATTGACCCTTCGATCGAGGACTATGAAACCGAGGAGTTCAGGGCCCGACAATACCTTCAAGAAGATCTGAATCAGGCCGCCGCTGATGGTTTCTCAACCACAACTATTGAGTCGATCGAGGTCAATCCGGAGAACACTGATGTCGAAGATGATGTTGAAATTGTTCCCGAATTTGATGAATGGGACGTGATCCTTGACGAGAAGATCATTGTCAATCCCCATGATGAGAAGGTCAAGGAAGATGAAATCTCGGAGGACCGAGCCAAGGAGGTTGCGGATCTCAACAAGATCATCGAGATCACATCCACTGAGGCAAAGCCTTCGGGAACGTCGGCCGATGACCCTGCTGCTGCAAAAGATGCACCTGCCAAGGTTGACCAAGGGGGAGAAGACATGACTTCATCGAGGATTTCAACATGGAGCGTGGTTGGTGGTGATGAATCCAAGCCCAGCGACATGACCTCTTCCAGGATCTCAACATGGACCGAGGCTGGTGGATCTGAAGCCACTGCCATGGACGTTGACTCTGAGAAGAAGGAAGGTGCTGATGCTGCCCGGAAGGGTGTGCCAACTGACACTGCGGTTCCTGAGGCTTCTGCTTCTTCCGAACAGCCTGCTGACAAGACTGCCATTGTCGACCTGACCAAGACCGAGAAGAAGGTGGAGGTTGACAAGCCAGTTGGAAAGCCGGCCGAAAAGAAAATGCCGAAGAGTGAAAAGCAAAAGGCACCAGAGTCCAAAGCGCAGCCCAGACAGAAAGCGCCGCGACTCAGTGTCGAAGCTGATGCAGCCCTTCGCAAGTTGGAAGAAGCAACGGAACGCCAAGAGGGATCAGTATGGTTGGACCCCAATGACATGATCAACAGGATCCCCAAGGAGTATTGCGGCCAAGGGCGACTGAGATTTCTTTCCACAAAGTTATCTTATGTTCTCCGTGGACACGCATTGAGCTATGGTGCTCGCAGCCCAGACATCGATCCCATGGATCTTTCGATGGATTTCGAGGCGGTGATGAAGACTATGGCCCACTACGTCTCCTACCCGAAGATCAGTGAGGTCCTGTCCATCGTGCGCAACAGTGACACCAGGCGCTTCCAGGTGAAAGTGGCCCAGCCCGATTTGCCTGAAGCAACCTGGAAGGGTTTGCCATGGAAGGTTGTCGCCATCAGAGCAGTCCAAGGACACAACCGCGCAGTGGTGGAAAATGCCAAGATTTCATCGCTGGTGAAGGAAGTGTTTACTTTGGATCCAACCTTCTCCAAGGCCGACCTCGACACGCCCAAGTTGCCAAGGACAAACCTTCGTCCAGACCTTGTGCCGGAGTTGATGGCTGCACTCCCAAGGGTTATCTACCATAGCTGCGACAGGCTCGCTATGGAAAAGATAGTTGAACATGGTCTCATCCCAGGTGGCTGGCCCCAAAGAACAGGAAGGGCGCATAATTTCTTTATTGCGTCACATCCGTGGGATGATTCAGTCGGCGGCCGAAAGCTCGCGGGGACGCGAGCCGGAAAACAATACTACATTGCATTTGACACCGAGCTCATCGTCCAAAGCGGCTGTCGATTGTTTCGCACAGACGAAGCAATCATTAGCCCTGACTGGATCTCCAACGAGAACATCATTTGCACATATGATGCCGTCAACAGGGAGTTTGCCTGGGTGAATCGCCCCTATGAGATCACACGTGTGGGGTACAACAGCAAAATGAAGACCCACAAGGACCAGGACACTCCGAAGAAAGAAGCCTTGTCCAAGAGCCCGTATGCCAACGCCAGGGACAGTTTGAAGGCCTACCTCATGAGCGGCAAGTCCATTCGACCAGGCCAGATGCAGATGACCGACTCTCCGGAAGAGCTTCCCCCACTTCTTCGTCGACGTGAAGGAACTTCAGGACCTTTTGAGGACAAAGTGACGTTGAAGATGGCCTCCTTTGGTGCTTTGTCCAATGCTGAAACCATCCGCAAGGGCAAGGGCCGGAGAAAAGGCAAGGGAAAAGGAAGCCGCCCGGGAGGGTTGGCCCAGCGCTCAACAAATGCTGAGGATTACATCTACAGCTCAAAGATTGAGATGCAGCAGGTCAGATGCCACTTCTGCGGCGAACAGAACATTGAGGGCACCCACAAGTGTCAGTCGTGCTTCAAATGGCTGATTGCTTGGTCGGATGGAAGAATTGCGACAGAGGTATGCCGGATGGAAATCTCGGCCAAGAAAACCAATAAGGTGTTTTCCCTGGACAAGATCGATTTTGAGAAGCAGCCACGTGCTCAGCGAGTTTCTGACCGCACCCGAGCAGATCAACGTCGAGCTGGACGAAGTAACTTCGGAAATCTCAAGGACGCTGCTCAGACACATGCGGGAAGATACACAAAACTCGGCTTCAAATCGATCCAGGACCGCATGGAGAAGGACCCATTTTATTTGTTCAACAATGCGGTTGGCCAGATAACCCCTGACTGCTGTCAGTTTTTGGAGGATCTGGCAAAATGCATTGCCCCTGATGTTGGCCGTACCCGAGAGAAGCGAGAAAAGCAGCTGGGAACAGGTGTCAGCACTCGTTTGATTTTTATGCCTGACTTCAACAGAGACATCCGACTCCCGTTGGACGTTACCAAGGAAGCCATGGTTGCACATCATGCACGTGTTTTCACACTCCCACAATTTGCTGTTCTTGCTGCGGACTTGCTGAAAGCGAGGGGGGAACCCACGCCGATGTTATTTGGATGGTCTGGCTCAGTGTTACCTGTGGATCAGGCGTCAGCCCAAGATTGTTTCTTTGACCTCGTCGACTTCGCGAAGAGGCAGTGGAAGGAACAATACAATAACATCAAGGGTGAAGAGCACTCCTTCGTGGATGAAGCCACCGCATCAGATGTGGCTGAGTTTCCATTGGCAAGGTCCTCCAAGACGGGTACTGGCGAAGGGCGAGAAGGATACCGGCGTCACTTTGACCCGATCCAGAAGCCAGCAAAGGGCAAGGGCAAGGGTTATGGTCAGCAACAACGACCAATCTTTCAGCAGGCCATTGAGTGCTGGAAGTGCGGTCAGTACGGCCACAAATCCTTTGAATGTCGCAGTGGATGGAGCCGAGGGCAACAGTGGGGTTCGTATGGATCTTACTCAAGCCGCTCGGGAGGGCAGGCCCAATGGCAAAGCTGGAATTGGAACCAGGGCTACTCTGGCCGAGGGTGGACTGCTGATCCTTGGGGAAGATCGACAGCATCAAGCTCCTCGGCAGCCCCTCCGGAGCCAGTGCAGCCACCTCCAACGGCAACGCCTGTGCCAGACACGACGCCAGCTGCTGGCGATTCTGCCCAAGCCGCCTCTGGATCAACTTCTGCAGCAGAGCCTCCACGACAGGTACCTCGTGCACCAGTTGTGATTGCTGAGGAGTACTGCGAGATCAACGGCCAGCCGCACTTCAAGCGCACCTACAATGATAGGACGGTAGAGTTTGAGTCGTGGTAGATGTTTCACATCTTTTGCCATGATTTAATGCCTACCGGAAGGTTTGGCCGATTGGATGAAAGCTGACCTATGGTCATTCGGTTCAATCGAAATGCACACATTTCCAAACATAAAATTTGAACTTGATTAACTTGAAAATACCTCCAATTGCTTCAAAAGAGTTTGACATCAGCATCCGATCCGTTGCGGTAGTTGCACGTGTACAGATGCCGTGTAGGTTAGCCTGATACAGTAGTTTCCGAACCAAAGGCAATTGAAAGGAATGGTAATGTTCCTATGCCTTGGCGGAAGCCAGGCCAACTTCACTTTTGTGTATGTTCAAGCACGTGCCCTGCCATGGATTGAAAAGTTTATGCATCCGACCCTTTTCTCATCTTGCCTCATGCATTCGAGCTGAGACCACATAGTACGTATGGTAGGTAATCATGTACAGTGATGTCTTGTTTCAACCCGTCCGCTCTCAGGTCACTTCCGGCGTTCGTGGTTGGCCTTCCGTCCTCCGCGGGAATCTGCGGGCGGCGGGGGGTGTTTTTCATGTATACTACTGTACATATACCTTAATTCATCCATACCGTACTTTCTCATGGCTCAAGAAAACAAGCGCATATTGCTGGGGTATTCGGGCTGTTTAATCTGTCAAACAAATTTAACGTAAGCAATCTATCTCTTGAGTAAGCTTGCATTAGGGCCGCTCTTCTTCCGTGTAAGTGAATCTGCTCCCGTAAGTATGGTGTAACAGGGTGCATCAAAGAAATTGGAGCTCGTTTGGAAGTTGGAAGGTGTGTATGACACAGCTGGGTCCTACTGGGTCCTTCTTCACCGTGCAAGGTCTTACATCCCTTAGTCCTGCAAGATGCAGTGCGGTTGAACGGTGGCCTACCTGCAGACAATCTGAACTTCATGGAGCCTGAGCTGTTCTGAATGATTGAACTCTGAGACCCCTGCACAGCGAAAGGTGCAACAAGTGCAAAAAGTGCAACAGAAATATCAATCTCATGACCTAGTCAAATATTCCGCAAGACTTAGTTTGACAAATTCCACATTCTGTGTTCCTGATATTTCCTTATCTGGCCATAGCAGCAACAACATGCCATGGTCAGACCTCAAAGACTTGACCACTTAGGCAGTGCTATAAAGACTCTTCTCCTTGGCTTCTGTGGGAGGTGACTCGCCCTTGAGCTGCAACCGCATCACGTACATTCTGGTGACTGTATATTATACACATATCATAATATATATATATTTAATAATATATATTATGTATTATAGTTTGATTCTTCCACATGCTTCCAACAACAGAATAATTACGAGCGTCATACTTGCAGATGTACTATATATAATACATTATATTGATACACATTTGTACTAATATGAGCATCGTACTAATAGGAACAAATATACGCACATGGAGAGAGAGAGAGAGAGAGAGATAGATATATATATATACACGATTATATACGTGTGCGTATGGATATTTTTCCGTTGGGACCAAGTCTGATGTACGCATTCATGAATTTGGCTTGACAATCATTCATGGTATAAGCAATCAGGAAATGTTTCTTGCTTTCTTTCTCTGGACTTGATTGCCCAGGCCAGACTGGCAAGAAGAAGCCTTTGCCTTTGATTACATTCCTTTTGGTTCCTCAATGTACCTCAGAAGTACATAGCTTTCCCCTTGACTGCGCTTCAGAAATTCAGGTCTTGGTGCTTCTCTCCAAAGCTGAACTTGAGCAGGGAGCTTTGCGAACTTTGATGCAGACGATGCAGGGCAATAAAAGCAAATCCGAAGAGTCAGTGCATGGGCTTAAGTTTGATCTGCTCAGGCTACCCTATGAGTGGCTCCAAAGGACCGCATCACGGACCAATCTTCATTATTGACGCTTATTATATATATATATTGTATACACTTGTGACACTTGCGTCATCCAACAGTTGGATGTTGGAAGGATTCAGGAAAGCATCGAGGACTCGCCAGAAGACTATGGCCTCCGCGCCGTCTTGGCCCCAGCCATCATATACTGCTCAGCGGCTGTAGCAGGAGCGTAGCGCTGTCGCACCCTGGTATACCCTGGCACCATATGGCGCCATCTTTTGCCAGGACTTCACACTTGCACCAGAGCTTTCAATCGAAGGCTGGCATTGCAGCTGGGAAGCCCAGACTGCTTCAGATCAAAGAATGTTCTGTGTCAAGTACTGTAATGGTGTATACTTCGTGTACTGTATGATACAGAAATCGCGCAAGAGGGTTGAGGGATGTTGAGGGGCTTCTCTGACTCTTCTCTAGCTCTGGACGGCTTGACGTTTTCGCAAAATGTATTTTCCTGAGCCAGGGCCTACTTTGCGACATTTGATCGCTGCCCGCCAAAGGGCGGGTCAGCTGCTGTCAAAGCGCACGTCCTAAGCCTCGGACATCGTTGGACTGCCTGGAATTGTTGTGACACTGACGGAATCGTGACACTGCCCGGCTTCGGACTGCCGTCAAGCCCGGTCAAGGCTAGAACGACTCGATGAGGCTATGCATGGAGGCCAAACAGTCCCACAGAGTGAATTCAGCGATTCTTTTTGTATGTGTGCGTGTGTGTGATTGTGCTGTGAGTGTCTTTGTTTTCTTGGCAGGTATCACTTGTCTAGTCGCTCCCTCAGATTTGTTCCCATCGGTGCTGGAGAATTGTGGAATCTTTGACGGGGTGCTGTCTACTCAGATTGATGGGCCCAACATTGGATACCGTGGCGCAGTGCAACGACGCAGCGTGTTTGAGGGGCCTCGCAACGGTTGGCGCCCTAAAATTACACTTGCATCATCTTGCATCCATTTGATATTATTCTTCCTGAAGTTCCAAAGAGCAAGAACAGAGGAAAGCAAAACTCACTTCCAGGTGGCAAGAATTTCTCCATGGAAGAAGATGAGGACCCCTGTGGCCAAATGATGGGTGTGTGATGTGTGTTTTTTTTCTCGGTGGCATAGGAGACTAGGACACCGGACAGCATTGAAAACATGGAGAAGGAAATCACAGTGTGAACGTGGCCGAACGTGGCATTGCAGATTGTGGAGAATCTTCATGCTCCCTACTTCCGGCATGACCAGATCGACATGACCTTGCGCCAGCTCTTTGGCCCATTCTGTCATCCAACATGTAATTGCAAACACAGTCACAGCATGGCATTATAGATATTATATGGATTTATAATGATGTATATGGCTTTGAACAGCCTGCAGCCAGGTTACAAGAGCAAGGAGAGGTTCCGTTGGTTGTGATGCCAGCGAGATACGTTTGGGACTCAGAGCAGAAGTGAATGTGCAATTTGTTTGCTTACATTTGTGTCATTTTGTGTCATAACTATCCCACGACATCCTACTGCATTCCTACTGCATCTACTGTATGCGACAGCTCCTGCCATTCTTTGGCCAAGACATTTGCCCATCTTGGAGATGTTCGCGACAAAGAACAGATCGGCCCATTCGTCCCACTAAATCAGTGGGTAGAGAAGTGGTTGCGAGAGCCTTGGTGAGATGTCTTTGTCTTGACTACAAATGCATTGTGACGTTGTAAAAATGTATATAAAGCTTTGGCATGCTTTGAATTCCATCCCTTGCTGCAGATCGATTGTTTTCAAGGTCTAAAAAGCAAATTTTCGTAACCTCGGACGATGAACCAGATGATGCAGCACATTCCTGAGTTCAGCGCTCTGTGATTGATATACCGTGTTCATCCATATTCAGTTCCTGTTCTGAAGGGCATGTTGTCTTCTTTGACCTGTAGGCATGGATGTACGCAACACTCGATGCAGCAATAGAATCCGTTTCATCCTGAGCCTTTCAAGACCTGGTGCATCACTCCTGACGTCGTGATGTTAGATGAAATCAGGATGGCAGAGTTTTCGTCGTCACTCGGGACAAGGTTGGGCAGCAGTAGAGTCACACCCCACCGTTGGAACCATTTCATTTTGGCACCATTTCGGCACAATCCTGCAACTCAGCTACAGGACAAAATTGTGCATGATTCTCAAGTGGTTTCCACGAATATAATTATATATTATAGCATATTATATATTTATATATTCGATCTATACAATGAGCAAGGGTACAATGAACAACGGTCCAATCTTGCACCCAATTGTTTCCTCAAAGTTGTACTGGCAGCTCACCTCACACTCACGGTTGGCACCATGCTAAGCCGATGGAAGGCCCAGAACCATCGCTCCCAAGTGTGGGGCATCAGGTGCTCACCAACTCTGGATGCAACACATAAATCTGATTAAATCGAACTCATATTTGGAGATTTTTCAGACATGGTTTACTCTTGCCACAGACGCTTTCCCTGGACCTCTGTTTTTCCTGAAAATTATCCAAATTTGACAGGTTCAACAAGGGTGACCGCAGAAAGCTCGGCCTTCTGTTCCGAGCATGCCAGTATTGAGCCAGTCATTTTAGTGACCTCCGTTGGAGCAAGGTGCCATTGAACTTGAGCGATCGTGGCGTAGATGGAGCGCCATCACCCTAGACAGCGAAAATCTATGGTCAAGCCATGTCAAGCCTGGAACTTTGACAAAATGATGGTCGTCAACAGAGGCTCTATACCTTCGTTGGTTTGCGTGTTCCTTAGAATGCTGTTTCCAAGCCCTGTGTGGGCAGATTGTGTGAACGAACGGAGTTCTTTTGCTCTTGCAGTGTGTAAGTGGATAGATTGGATAGATTTGAGATTAGAGCACGTGGGGATGTAGGCTGGATATGGCTGGATCACTCTTGGAGACATGCGAGTGCAGTCCATTGACTAGTTATAGATACCCGTCGAAAGACGAGCATAAGAGGGACTCAAGTATCTCAAGTACACACAAAGTTTGTAATATGCAGAAATCACTGAACTATCATCGGAAATCCCAATGTGAATCAGCTTGAGCACATTTGATTGTCACAAGGCCATCTCCTGGGCTGATTGTGATCACTTTTCAGAGGACAGCTTCCTAAGAACTTCACAGCACAAAGCAAGCACATTTGAATCATTTGAAGGTCAATGACAACATGATACGATAGCGAATGCGACTCCAATTTAATGCAACACCAGTCCACATTTGCTTGGAGCAGGAATGGGGAGGACTTAAACCACTTTGCAAATGATGTCATCGTTGAACGTTTCGTATTACTAAATTACTGACCTTGTCATCCTGTCTTGATTTGAACATACTGTAACCGCTGAAATTTCAGCCATAGCTTCAAGGAGAGCATCATATGGAACATCATAGATCAATGTAGGATCAAGTTAGAAAAGCGGATCGCTATCCAGTTGTTGGCAGCTTGCAGGTGTAAAATAGCATGCCCATGTATGCCTTGAGGATGTCACCATTCGGGTGGAAGAGCCACAAGCTGAAGGAAACAGAGGTAGAAATGGATGATTGATATCTACGGTAAACTCATGTGCTTCCAAACTTTTTGAATGCGGGACGCAGCAAGGAGAGGTTTCCAGAGATGGAGAAAGCAAGCATGATGCTAAGACTGCTAAGACCTGCGGCCCAAGGCTACCTCTGGTTTCTATAGAGGTGCATAGACGCGGAGATGCATGGTGCCCACTCAGCTATGGCAATGCCATGCCAGCTTTGTCCAACTTTTGACTTTGAGGCAACTGGTGCTATGTGTACCAGGTGTTGACTTGAGGCAACAATTATACGTGTTTTCTTTGAAATCCCTTTAGTGATGAAGACAAATGACTGCGAGCAACAGGGCGTTGACATATGCGTTGACGAAGTGTCCGGCTCAAATCGACTTATTCAAATAATATGGTTTCGGGAGGCCCGTCCCCTAATAGCTTGCGACTAGGCATAGCAGGCTGAATCGTAGTAGGACGAACATCCAAAAGTCTGAAAGGGGAGCAGTATGGAGCAGTCCACTGGATCAATAAATACACCATACGGATACACATGTAGTCCTTGTGTCGAACCCAGAGCATAGTGTCTCTGACATGTATTTGCATGGTGCGAAATTGTAAGTTGCGACGTGCGGGGTGGACTCATTCTGCAATGGCTGATCGGTCCTGTTTGAAGATTCCCGCTGGGCAGAGGCCAGAATGTTTTTTTGTGAAGCAACAATCTGAACTTGAACATACAGATTATCACAGATTGCCCCTGCCACCCGCTGCCCATACATTGGGTTCTTTGACTTGTCAAGTTCTCCAGCTGTGCCATGCTGTTCCCTATTTTGCGTGTTGGGATGACATTCAAATGCTGAGTTTGGAGACATCCTTTTGGCTGGAGCTCCACACAGGTTCACGCATAGCATTCCCTGCAACTGGCAAGAGGGCGAGGATGGCAACACTCGAGCAGTAGCTTTAGGAAGTCTTGCTACTTGTTTGATCTTGTTTGCATCGGATTGGTTCAAGATGGTTCAAGCATGGCAACTGGTAGTGGAGGTTATATAAACAGTGTGCCAGATCAGTATTCGATTTTTGCAGCATTTTCACTGAGACTCTCCTCGCTAGCTCCTAAGGATTGGAATGCCGTATCCCTTGGAGAGAAGACGATTGACCTTGAGGTGTATGTCTTGTTGAAGTCACTTCAGCTGCACGTGACGTAGCTTCTGAATTTTGAATATGGAGTAGACATGAGTAGACGGTACAGGTACCCCTATATAGGTCGGTTCATCTCAGCATTTGGCTGATAAAATGATGAGCACAGGATTGGAGCAATAGGATCTTCAACCTCTTCACACATTATTTTTGCCTTATTTTTGCTGTTGAATTTGATTTCACATATTTCATCAAGCAAGGTCAGAGGATGGCTCAGAGGCACCTACAATACACTACCTGAAGCAAAAGGGAAGTGGTCGAAGCTTTGCTGGGCGCTTCGTGCCTCAAGAGGATGCCCGCTTCTTGACGGAAGGCACCGGTTGACTGTTGACATCGGTTGAGTCGGTTGACAATCCTGACCTGAAAAAATCACTGATCGCCCTGGCAGGTGGCAATGTCGTGGAGCTTGATTCAGTCATCTTTGAATTTGACAACAGCTACAGCTGGTGGACTGTTTCTGAGCTCAATGGACTCCGTTCGCGTATGTCATGAAGCCATGGTACCACTGTCTTTTTCAACCAAAGGACAGCAAACAGCTTCAGAATTTTACGATCAAGGGATTTTACTCAAGCGATCTCAATGATCTTGCCCTGTCAGCAGTTCTACCTTGCCAGCTCTACATAAAGACAGATGTCATTGCCGGAGTCCTGCATGACGATTTGTGAATATGAATGTTTCTTCCATGGGCCCATGATGGTTTGTCAATGTTTATCATGATTTTCATGGTTATCATTGATATCATGGTTTACCAATGTTTACCATACCTATCATCGACTTCATCATCTCTGATCCATCATGGTTATTGTCATCAGATTGTCATGGTCTTGTTGGATTTTGGATCCCTGATGATCCCTGGTTGTCTCTATGGCCAAGGAGAAGGAGGTTGAGCTCATCACCATCCGCACCGCCTGCTCGGCCAATCTCCCACCGCCCCTCCCGGAGAAGGCTCCGCACAGCCTTCCGCCTCGAGCCACCACACCCCATGGGGCAGCGACACAGAAAGCGCAGGACCACGCTTGTCACCATTGATGACCGTTTCAAAGACAGATGCTTAGAATATCTTAGAATATCATAGAATATCTAAAGTCAATAGCTAAGTATATATATATGTATATATATACTATATAATCTATGCGGGTCAATCAACTTGACCTTGCTGACATGTAACTTTCTTTTTGTACTCGTAGTTGGCATGACAAACTTGGCCAATGTATGGTGCTTCGTATTATATATTATATAGATATATATTTGTTCACGGCCGACAAATTGGCGTTGACTGGCTACGATTCCAACCAACTTGCCTTGTTGCTTGTCAAGAGACTGAGGCTTTTCTTGTGCAAAATGGCCCTGTGAGGAAATCCCAGATCTTCGAAAAGCTATGGATGCGAAGGCCTAAGATATGAAATACCGCTCCCTCACTCGACCCGAAGGTGCTGGAAGGTAAGGGCAGAGATGTCGACATAATAATGATAACTGTGGGAAAAGATTTACAGTAATGGTCCTGCCCAGTGGCATGGAATCTGGAAGACAATATCCTGATCTTGCAAAAGCATCAAAAGCCAAGGCCGGAAATGACGAAAAACGATGCGCTTTCAGGTACGGATAGGGGGCAGCAACTTCAAACTGCTCAATGACATTTTGGCTTGTCCTTTTTGACTCAGGCTACCTTTCTATTCTTGGTGTTGCTTGGTGTCAGATCTTTCTCATGTTAACATAACCCATTTTATGATTCATGTTTTTAAGGATAGTTTATGTATTTCATGATTGTGTCTCTTTCAGTACCCTCAAGCCGACGCTGAGAATGGTTGAGAATTCCGAAGCATTCTAGGTCTGCCAGGTCTGGTGCAGAGAAATGACAATCAATACCATGAGCTCGTTTAAGGCTCGTTTCTAATGAATTTCCAAGCGCATGCATGGCCGGAAATATCCCAGGTTCATCCAGCATCTGGAAGGGCTGCTGGAAGCTGCAGAAGCAAAGTGCCCAAAGGAGGTTCTGGGCTTCTCTTGATTTTGTGCAGTGCCAGGCTTTTATTTTGTTGTTTTGTTTTTTGGGCAACGTTCATGTGACATTCTAGTGCCTCTCCTTCGGCAACTTTATTTTATTCGGATTTCTCTGTGTCATGTGAGGGGATTTTCTGTGTGCGCGATGCTTTACAAGAGTTGGAGCCTGCCAGCAAAACAAGAGTACTGTACCAAAAGAAGGAGAGTAAGGAGAGTCAGGAGAGCATACATATGCAATGAATGATAATGATAATATAATCATATGCGTAATTCATCACGATCATCATCCACTGACGGAACGCACCTGGTATAGGGGCTGCAGCTGGCTGGAGCAGAAGCCTTGTGGTCGGAGCTCCTGCAACTATGTCAGAGTTGCCAGGACAAGCGTCGGGCAGTGCATCGGGCTAAGACAGATTGGACGAACTCTTGAGAATATCTCGAAAGGTGTAGGCAAGAATTCTGACAATTGTCATGGCAGGAAGCTTTGAAGTTGCAGAAGGGCAAGGAGCAGGCAGGAAGACAATCCATGCGTTCGGTTTAAACTTGGAAATCGACCCTGTTCATTTTGTTTTTTATTACTGCATCTTGAGCAAGAGGCATGTAACACCACTCAAAACATGCAAGCAATATATACAAAGGCAATCAAACGTAGTGAGACAGACAGAGACGATATGGTATGCCAATAATGTGCTGTATGTGTCAGTGCCATGTCTTATGTCTCCTTGCAGTCCTTCCGAGGATATCTCCCGAAAGACAGTACAGATTCCAGCTGCAGAAGCTGAGGTGCGGGGCTTTAGCGGGGCTTTAGAACCAGCTCCAGACTAACTTCAGCAGAGCATCGTCACCTCGATGGCTCATTCTGGGAGGAATATCCTCCTTCAAAATGTGACTTTATAACTTTATGACTTGATATGACTTGATGAATCTTGACGATCTAGAATCTAGAATTCGTCACTCAACTCTCTCCCTCTCTCGGTCTCTTCCTTTTTCGGTCTCTCCCTCTCTTTGTCTATCTGTCTATCTGTCCCTCTGTCTATCTGTCTCTCTGTCTCCCTCTCTCTGTCTCTCTGTCTCTCTGTCTCCCTCTCTCTCTCGGTCTCTCCCTCTCTCTGTCTCTCCCTCTCTCGGTCTTTTTCTCTCTCTGTCTCTCCCTCTCCCTGTCTCTCTGTCTATCTGTCTCTCTGTCTCTCTGTCTCCATCTTTCCGTCTCTCTGTCTCCCTCTCTCTCTCGGTCTCTCCCTCTCTCGGTCTCTCCCTTTGTCGGTCTCTCCCTCTCTCGGTCTCTCCCTCTCTCGGTCTCTCTCTCTCTCTCTCCCTCGCTCTCTCTCTCTCTCGCCTCCTCTCTCTCTCTCTCTCTCTCTCTCTCTCTCTCATTCTCATTCTCATTCTCATTCTCATTCTCATTCTCATTCTCATTCTCATTCTCATTCTCATTCTCATTCTCATTCTCATTCTCTCTCTCTCTCTCTTTGTCTCGTGTCACTTTCAATACTATTCGAGTCTATGATGAGTTTGTGATTAATTACATAATGGTTGATGTGAGCTCATTTTGAGGCCACGCGAACCAGCGAAGAGAAGGTGGTGGAGGTTTCCTGTGCTGTTTTTCCTTCACGAAAATCACGAAACACTCTTGGACATCATTGGATGCCAAGAGGACACAACAGAGAGTCATCCAGCCTTTGGTTTGGTGCTGCTAGGCCGAAGCTTAGCACCAGAGAGAGGAGTACGTTTTTGGCCTTGCTGACCATGCCAAACAGAAACGGCACACTGACAACTCAGCTCAGCTGCGTTCAAAAATGCCTCAAGCAAATTTCTCAGGGAGTCAACCTACGGTGCCTCCGCGAAAGAAAAATGGCTGGGCGCGAAAGCTCGCGAAAGAGCTTCCCGAAAGAGTGTCAGAAGACATGCGCCGCGAAAGTAAACAACAACAACAACAACAACAACAACAACAACAGCAGCAACAACAACAGCAACAACAACAGCAACAACAACAACAACAACAGCAACAACAACAACAGCAAAAATGCACCCGCAAAAGCTAAAACTGTGGTCGTGAAAGCACCGCGAAAGCCGTGCGAAAGCAATTCTATAGGTTAACCAAATGAATCAGTTGATCAAGTGTTTTCGAACGTGGCTCAACTATTGACGACTCAATGGTCCAATGGTATGACGGGGTGGGTTAGTGTCGCGTAGGTCTCAATGATTTCAGATGGTCAGGTCCAAGGCAAGATTTTGATTGCATCGAATTGCTTCGATTGGAGATGTCAAAAAGAAACGTTCCTCTCTGTCTATATTGCACAAGGACTTGAATTCTTCAATCCTTAGTATCCTTAGCAACCCGGGCAGCTTTGTTTTGGCAAGTTTCTACTTGTAGTAATTAACTTAGTATGACTTGGTCGTATCCAAGATTCCTAGGTGAAGCTACTCGCAACCGTAGATCCGCTAGGAGCAGAAGCTGCACCAAACTCTGAGCTGTTGAGAGATTATGTCAAGATGTTTCAGCGAGGAGGGCTTTGGTTCTTTCAGATCACTCCGAATCCAAAAGTTATCCAAACGTTGGGACCAGCACGGTTTATGGCCACGGTTTATGGAGTTTATGGCCGCCTGTTGGTTTTGGTGGTTTTACGTCCTCAGATGCGCTCCTTGCTTCTAGCCTTGTTAGGCAACCCAGAGCCGAAGATCGGGCATAAAAGAAAATCCGACGGCGGAGGGCGGAGGGCCATCATTTGTTTCTTTGGTGCTTTCTAAAAAGCTGTAGTCACTGGTCACTGTATGTAGTCAAAAGGAACAAGTCCATCCAGATCTTCTGCAACATTCTTTTTGAGGTACATCCCCGAAGTTGGCGGCGTGCGCTGGCTTTGCTTGACGGGAAAATGACGAGCGCCAATGATCACTGTGGTCAGAGAGATTTGGGAGACCCACCTGCCAAAGCTCCAACATGCTCGAAGAATTTCGTAGGCACTCGCTTTCGAACTTGCATACAATTCCGGTCAAATTCATCCATAAATGTCAACAATCCAAAAAAAATCTATCAGCAAGAGCGGCACTTGAATTCACCACTTCACTTTCCACCTGGGAAAGTTTCACTAAACACAGGATTGATGGCATTCTGGTATGAGTTAGCCAGATGCACATGTAGATGAAAATATAGATTTAAACACATGCACATCAAAAGATCGGTGCTCCAGACTCCATAAAATGATTCATCTTTTGGGACCTCCGTATGATATGGGTCCATATCAAAGTGCAGGTCAACTTATGTGTATCAGTATGCAAACATTCAAACTATTGTAATAGTTATATTATAATATATATATATATTCTATAATTTATACTGATTATACTGTATCATTTGGTATCTTTTCACAGCCAACTTGATGTTCCTGAATTTGGACACACCTGTCGTTGCCGCATGGACTCTGAGCTGCGGCTAGTGGAGAAGTTGAAGGAACTCTCGCAGCTTGAACCTGGATTGGGCTATCGGGCCTACCATGCCAAGTTGAAGGAACATCCTGACTTCGCAAGCATCGGTCTCAAGAAGGTGCTCCTAGGTCCTAGGTAGTCGCTCAGATCTGCAAGATCTTTGAAACTCTCAAGAAATAATGAGGGTACTTTCTCCCATTTTGTTCCTGAGTATGAAGCCACGTTTCAACATGTTGCATCTGATTCCTTGACATGCACAAGATCACAGGAATGTGCTCATATTTTTCATTGTTTAGTTTTCTCATAACTTTACTATAGTAAATTAGGCCTTGCGTCACCGCAATCCTGATGTGCACGATACACTCCGACACGCTGAAAATCCATTGGGAGGTGCAGACTGCTTTGCAGCATTTGCGCGGTTCGCCACTTGCAAATGAGCAGGTCGCCAGCAACCTCCCGTGACTTGGATTGCTTTGGGCTGACTGGAAGGAGGTCTCCAAATTTGCAGCTTGTGTCAAGATTGTTAAGGCAGATACTGCAAGTATCAGGTGATTCTTTTTGAGCCAGTGCTGGGAGTTTTGACAGTGAGATATATTGAGTTCAAGGTTAAGGAGAAATTGAAGAAGTATGATGCAGGTGAACCGTGTTGACAGCCCACCAAGGCGAGCTCTGCCAATAGATCCATTGGAGGCTTTTCACATCTGAATTCTGTCGACTGTTCTTGAACAGCTGATTTGTGACTGCCAGTGATTCCCCGGGATGTGGTATCAGGGACATGGTTGCGAGTCAATCAGCTACCACTAGGCTTCTCCTCTTTGACCATCAGATTCTGGGAGGAAAGCGCGAAGGACGCGACAGATGCAGTCCTCCTTGCTGAAATTCCTGGCCGTGGCAAAGGATACCTGGCCAAGCGAAAGATCAAGCGAGGAGAGGCTTCACCAGTCGAATGAGTCACCGGATGTCACTGCAGTTCAGAATTGGACCCAGACATTTCAATACTTTCTAAATCTTTCTAAATCTTTCTAACAGATTGGCCACAGTACTTCTATACAGTCTATACAGTGAACAGTAGTGGCTCAGTGCCTATACACTGCCTATACAGTGCCTATATACTTGGCTTTTGGTGCTCATAGAGAAGCAAGCGGACAAAATGGAACGAGATGAGGGTTGGACCTGACCCCTGTTCAACCCCACCCCCCTCCCCCCCAAGGGTGGTGATACAGTGCCTAGACAGTGCTATACCGTGCCTAGACAGTGCCTTTTGGATCCTGTTGAACTGTTTTGCGCAGGCCCTACTGCATGATGTGGCTGTTTGTGCTGCATTGGTGGGAGAGGGCGACATTGCAGAACTGGAAGCACAGTGCCGCCGTGGGCGCTTGGACGAGGCTGATTTGTTGACGATGTAGAAATGTAGAAGCTTCTTTGACGATTTTGAGGATGGAGCCAGTGGAGGATCATGTGCTGTTCAATGTGATTCTGGCACATGCGTGCGCAATGAGCATTATTATATATTACATACTGTATATATGCATACATGTGCAACAATTTACTAAGAGATATTGTGTATCCATGTGCATTGTACACGTGGGCCTGATGCATTTAGCTATATTTATTTAGCTGCCAATGCCTGTTTCCCAGCAGGTGATGTGCCTGACTCACGGAGCTGGAACCGAAGATTTGCCAGGGAAAATTCAAAATAATGTATTCCAAACTACGCGGGATGTCACTTTGGCATTGGCGCTTTTTCGCTTTTGTTTGGAAGCTGTTCTTGACCAAAGCTGCGCAGACCCATCTTTGCAGTTCAAGATGTTCAAGTCCCTTCAGTTTCTTCAAGGAAGTAAGCGCTTCCAGATTTGATTTCCACAAGCAATCCAGGAGCCACAACACTTCAAAATGAGGTCGAATACTGTGCCCTTTTTGCACGGGTCGCTCGGTTGAATCACTCATGCTGCCCCAATGCATTTGTAGATTGCTCGCGTAAGAATGCCGTGGTTCGAGCTTTGGTCAACATCGAGGAGCCCACCATTTATTCAGACAGCTCACAATCATTGACCGTTTGCATCGGCAGAGTTGGGGTTTGATGGGCTTGTGTTTGTGAAGTTCTAAGACTTGCGACTGAGCTGCGCTTGTGGCACCAGGAGAGCGAAGAAGTTCTTATTTCATATGTGCCAGTCAGTGACTGTTTGGAGCTCAGAAAGGAGAAGCTCGAGGGCAAGGGCTTCTGCTGCGACTGCAAACGTTGCCAGGCGCTGCCCAATGGCACAAAATACATGTGTATCACGTGTGCGTATATCAAGACAAGATAGTAGTATAATAATGCAGTATATATATATATATATGTATATATATGTGTGTGTGTGTGTATATATATATATGTATAGTAGTTTGGTGGAGGTGTTAGAGCGATATATAGTTTGGTAGAGGTGTTAGAGCGATGAAATTACACCTGAGTCTACCTCAGGCTGCATGGTTGCCACGGTTTGTCTTACTGCAGGCTGAGGCCGCTTCGGATCCTTCCACTTTGGTTCCCTGTGCCGAACCTTGCAACTCCTCCTTCCAACTGGACACTGGCGAGGCTGGTAGCATGTCACATCGGGGCCCAAACGGCACTCATGGCTGGACTTTCTCACGGATGCCTCATGGCAGGTGTCGTGCCCGTCATGTGGTTCAATCTTGGATATGGAGAAAAGTCGAGAGAACTTTTTGCATGTGCAGCAGGCACGGGCTGGTGAGGGTTGGCCAGTGTTGAAGCCTAGAAGCCTTTGGGTGTAAGGATGTGTAAGGTACAGTGAGAACTAGTTGTATTTGTTCAATTTGTTCTTGCTTGTTTTTCTGTTCTGTATCGCCTTCTATATGTTGCTCTTCCGGCTTTCAAGCTTGGCTGCTCCATGCTGTTAGGTGAATGACTTCATGAGAACGCCTGAAGCATCCCAGACCGACACGCGCAAGCTGATCTCTCAGCTGCTCACCGTCAAAGATGCGGCGATGAAGTCACCCGGAGCCGTTCCACCGAGAAACCTGCACTTTTTGACCTTGCTGAACAACCTCTCAAATTTGCACTTCTTTTGTCCCTCAGCGGCAGCAACCCCAGACAAAAACATTGAAAGACTGTAATTATATGATCTGGAATGTTTTTGTCAGGATTTGTCACCTGAACTTCACAGCATGCGAGGTGCTCAAAACCTGAAAGGGCAGAATCGTGAGGATGCGCTATTGGCCTTCTTCGACTGCAAGGCACTAATGATGACGCACTACCAGAATTTGCATGGTGGAAGCCCTCAGAGAGACATCAGTTATTTGGTGGCATTACAGCGGCTCCTGACTATCGACTTGGGGAATCCGCCTGAACAGCTCAGGACTTTTGGACTGAAATCATGCAAAGGTTTTGAATTCGGTGAGAAAGTATGGCCGCCCAGTTCTAAATTCAAGGGAGCAGAAACCCCCCATCAGAAAGGATTCCGCTTGTGAATCTCAAGAGGTGGTAAGCAACAACTTCCAGAATTCGGCATCTTGGACCTATTTCTGCTCACCAGCTACAAGCGGTTCCTGCTTTCCAGGCTACAAGCAGTTCCTGCTTTCCAGACAATATTGAATCAATTTCTATACCAATCTTATTGTTTCCAAAACCTGAAGTGTGATCTTTGAAATTCTTTGAAGCTTGCATGCAGAAACTGCATGTTCAAGTTTGGTTGGTGGTTTTTGGTGGGTCGAAGTCACGCTCCATGTTGCTGACATCCAGCCACTCCGAGGAAAGCCTGGCAAGCGCAGCTGCAACGTGCGTCGTTGCTACAGTATGGGGAAATGCAACTCCCAAATCTGGAAGGAAAAAAACATGGAAAAAGCGGCCTCCATTCAGATTAGATGTTGGGGGTGTTTGGATGCCTTTGGATTGCCAGCAAGCTGCTGCAGCATGCTGCACTCTGTCTGGCCGCTTTGGTAGGTTCTTCTTGATGAGCCAGATGTCCGATTCTGTGTTTGACTCTCAGCTTTCGAAGGAACTAGTAGTTGAAGCTGGAGTCAGCAGTGCCCCAGAATCACAGGACTGCACATAGTCGAAGGAAGTTTAGAAGTCAAGCTTCCGACTTGCGGACAGATGCAGCAACAGTGGCGAGAAGAGTCAGAGAAGAGAGAGTCAGCAGAAAGAAGATCAAACAGCGAAAGAGTAGAGAAGTTGCAAACCACCGTTTTTTTCCCAATGTTTTGTACCTCCGGAGGGTCGAAAAGTAGGCTCGCTACAGCGGCGGGTGCGGAGCCAGTTGGCCGGATGAGAGATCAAAAATTGCACGTGGTTGTGGTGCGAAGAAAATTTGGAAGTCAAAATGGCAAAAAAACACCTCAGCATTGGAGCACTTTTGGAACTGGAGCTCTTGAAAAAGTGGACGCCCTTGTATCTTGTGGCGTGAAGCACATTTGGAAATCCAAATGTTCAAAACACTTTGGGTTTGCAGCACTTTTGGACGTTGAAGCGTCGTTGTTTGTGGCAGGCGCGATGGATTCTGCACCTTGAGCCAAACGTGTGGGTTTTGCAGCAGTTTCAAAAACGATGGCGGGCGAGGGGCGTTTGAAGAGGACCTGCCAAGATAGATTTCGAGTGGAAAGCGCAGTGCAAGAGACATCTCCCAGACATGTTAGGAGGCCAGGGCGATGATTTCCTGAGAGCGGCTGCATTTTGGAGCATCAGATCTTCAGTTTTGGGAAGATCATTTTGCGTGACAGGTGCAGCACTTCGCATGACCTGGCCTCACTTTTTCGTGGCAGGCGCAAGACTTTAGACAGGCGGAATGGAAAACGCAAAACGCATTGGTACGAGGCCATCCGCTCTGCACTCAACTTTCCATTTTTGAAGGAAGTCTCGTAGAATTGCGTCATTTCAGATAGATGGAAAATAGATGGATGGAGAGAAAGAGAAAGAGAAAGAGGACGAGGAAGAGGAAGAGAAAGAGAAAGAGACAGAAGAGAGAAAGAGAGAGAGAGCGAGAGAGAGATATAAATAGAGATAGAGATAGAGAGGGATGGAGAAAGATGTAGATAGGCCAGATAGGCAGACAAGTAGACAGGTAGATGGACAGACAGACAGACAGATAGATAGATAGACAGATGGATAGAGAGACAGAGAAAGAGAGAGATCCAGAGGAGAGACAGGTAAATGAATAGAGAAGTTGATAGGTAGTTAGAGGGAGAGAGAGATAGATGGATGGATGGGTGGGTGGATGGATGGAGGCGGATGGATGGATGAATAGATAGATATACACATAGACTATAGATGACTATAGATATATAGATTGATCATGATTGATCGATATATAGATAGAAAGAGAGAGAGAGAGAGACACAGATAAAGACAGAGAGGGAAAGAACGGGAGGGATAGAGAGAGAGGTACTTTAGATATAGAGAGAGAGAGAGGTACTTTAGATATAGAGAGAGAGAGAGAGGGAGAGGGAGAGAGAGAGAGATTCAGAGCCTCAGCCACCTTTCCTCAGCCACCTTTCAGTCCATCAGTGGGGTTCGCTGCCATCCATGCATCACAACCAACCTCTTCTATACTACCTTTGAAATTTCCGCCACCACCTTGCGCGGTGCTACTGATAATACTGATGTTAATTTGATATGCTGTAATTGTTTTATGCTGATTCTGTTTGCCCGATCTTGGCTCTCAGATTTGTTATGACGACGACTCGCCCGTCATTATTGCTTGCTTGTGGGCGAGACTGAAGGCCTGAAAATGCGCAATGTCACAATATGTCACAATATGTCACAATCCAAAAACTAGAAATTGGTGAATTGATGAGGGGTCTTTGCAAATTATTTTTTTTTGCAAACCATTTTTCGCAAACCAGTCTCGACGGACTTGGCGCTTGGATCTTCAGGGCTTGGACTTTGAGGATGTGGTTGCTTCTCTGTGCGAGGTGGGCGCATGTCGGAATTGAATGAATTTGATTGGCATAGAACATGGCCTTTCTTGATTTAAAGAAAGATGTTAAGGTATGTTAAGGTCCATTTGCACTTAGGGGGAGGCTCACAGGTGGAAGGATAGCTGAAGGGTCCTGAATCTGTAGGACCCTAGAAGGACGAAAAAAATCCTCGAAAGGGCAGATGAAAATCTGGTGGTCAGCGTGCACTGAGGAAAGAGCTGAATGGGACAAGGGTGGTGAGCCTGGCACTCAACTGACTCAACTGTCCCATAGGGACAGTCATTTGCTTCAGTCTTTGAATATATATATTAAGGGGCTACGCCCCCTGCCGCCGACCCCTGGGAGAGAGGGGGAGTTGACACATACGTCACTTCCCGAACCTACAAGAAAACTATATGGGTACGAGTCAAAATACAAGGTATGGATCAAGGCGCCAAAGCTACACACGATCCATACCCCCCGATCCATACTTTGATCCATACCCTTGATCCATACCCCAGATCCATACCCCTTTCTCGTTGAAGAAAGACTGATGCTGGCCTTAACGATGCTTTTTATCCTAATATATACTGCTTCTGGTCGTCGTAATGCTACTCCCATCGCTACTACCGTTGCTTCTACTGCTGCCTCCACTGCCTCCGCTGCTGCTGCCGCCGCCACTACTAGTGATTATCCTCCCAGGAGCTGCTGCTACTGCTCCTGCTGGTCCTGCTCTCGCTGCTGGTGCTGGCTCACGTTCTCCGTGTGCTTCGGTAGTTGGACAAATGTAACTAGTTGACTAGCTACTCGCAATATTGCAAGTGCACCTTGGAGGCTTGTAAGACCGGTTCTACTTCCACTAGGTGCTTATTGTACTTCTAGTGGTGCTATGACTACAACTCCTTCTGTTTCTACTTTGCCTGGCACGTGTAGAACTAAAAAAGCATGGTGTCCTGATCCATACCCCGATCCAGACCCGTTCCATGCCTGGTCCATATCCGAACCCAGTCACGCCACAACAAGTGCCAATATGAAAGTCCGAATCTGTTACTACTTCTGCTGCTGCTTCTTGCGCTACTTGTGCTTCTACTTCTACTTCTGCTTGTACTTCTACTTCTACTTTTGCTGCTACTACTACTACTACTACTGCTGCTGCTGCTACTATTACTACTACTCCATTAGATTATTTTACTGTTATTACTTTGACTCTTACTAGTACTACTGTTACTGCTACTGCTATTTCTACTGCTACTGCAGCTCCTCCTTGTATTGCCGCTACTGCTGCTGGTGTTGTTTTTTTTTACTGCTCCCTCTACTAGCAGTGGCAACAGTTTTAGCAGCAACAGTAGCAGGAGGAGAAGTAATAGCAGGTAGGAGAGAGTAGGAGTATCAGCACCGTTTGTATGCTATGATGAGCGCTTACGAAAGGGTACGGAGCAGGTACCTTACGTAACCACTCCCGATCCATAGTTCGGATCACCGCGGAGCAATCCATACCCGATTATTGACTCGCACCCATATAGCTGTCTAGCTGTCTTCCAGCCGCCCAGCCCAGAAACGGCTCCTCCGCCACACCGAAACAGCAGGGCTCTGAGGCCTCTTCTGCTATAGCTTCCACGTGTCCTTCGTTCTTACTTCTTGCCTCTTGTTGAGTCCTCGTCGACACTTGTTGCTTGTCGACACTTGTTGCTTGTAATCTCTTCTCTGACGCGCTCCCGCTGCCGTCGGCAGGGGTCGGCGGGTTACATATTATTGTTATTGTATTTATAATTACATATATATATATATAATATATGTATATATGATATATGTATATTGCAACTTTGGACTATCTCAACCATCTGGCCAAATCTCGGCTCAACTTGGCTTGGCTTAGCCTCACTGCCAGCATCTATCTTCCCGACTTTTCCTGCGTTCCTGCACTGCCAACTGCCAACTTGCCTGCATTGTGTGACAGCTGGCTTTCGTGCGGCACAGCTCCGGTCAAGGGACCTCCTCGCAGGGCTAAAACACCATGGCAGTGAAGGACGGATTGGGCCACCCTGCTCGTGTCCTCCTGGAGCCGGCTTTTGTTCTGCACCGCTTCGGTCCAAGCTGGAGTCCAAGGACCGTGTCGCAGGGCTAAAACACCATGGCAGTGAAGGACGGATTGGGCCCGCAGCCGGCAGCCCACGGTGCCTAACGTTGCTTTCTGAACTGCCTAGAAACTAGCTTCAAACCTTGCTTATCCCTGCCTTCCTGCACTGCCAACTGCCAATTTGCCTGCGTCGTCTTGCAGCTCAAACCTAGCTTTTCCCTGCGTTCCTGCACTGCCAACTGCCAACTTGCCTGCATTGTGTGACAGCTGGCTTTCGTGCGGCACAGCTCCGGTCAAGGGACCTCCTCGCAGGGCTAAAACACCATGGCAGTGAAGGACGGATTGGGCCACCCTGCTCGTGTCCTCCTGGAGCCGGCTTTCGTTCTGCACCGCTTCGGTCTAAGCTGGAGTCCAAGGACCGTGTCGCAGGGCTAAAACACCATGGCAGTGAAGGACGGATTAGGCCCGCGGCCCGTATCCCAGACTGCCAAACGTCACTTTCTGAACCGACTAGAAACTAGCTCCAAACCTTGACTTTTCCTGCGTTTCTGCACTGCCAACTGCCACCCTGCTCGTGTCCTCCTGGAGCCGGCTTTCGTTCTGCACCGCTTCGGTCCAAGCTGGAGTCCAAGGACCGTGTCGCAGGGCTAAAACACCATGGCAGTGAAGGACGGATTGGGCCCGCAGCCGGCAGCCCACGGTGCCTAACGTTGCTTTCTGAACTGCCTAGAAACTAGCTTCAAACCTTGCTTTTCCCTGCCTTCCTGCACTGCCAACTGCCAATTTGCCTGCGTCGTCTTGCAGCTCAAACCTAGCTTTTCCCTGCGTTCCTGCACTGCCAACTGCCAACTTGCCTGCATTGTGTGACAGCTGGCTTTCGTGCGGCACAGCTCCGGTCAAGGGACCTCCTCGCAGGGCTAAAACACCATGGCAGTGAAGGACGGATTGGGCCCGCGGCCCGTAGCCCAGAGTGCCAAACATTACTTTCTGTCGCTCGTTTACTCTTGCTTCTGCATTCTTGCTTCTAACTTCTTGTTTCGTGCTTCTTTCGCTTGCTACGTTCGCTGAGACTGCCCCTCCTTTCTCGCTTCCTTTTTTGGGCTTCTTACTCTGCACCTGGTTTCCCTTTCTGTCCCCCCCTCGCTTGCCCCTCACTTGCACTGCACAACACTTGTTGCTTGTAATCTCTTCTCTGACGCGCTCCCCCTGCTGTCGGCAGGGGTCGGCGGATATATATATACTTAATGAATCTGAATGATACTGACAATGATACTAAATACTAGATGATTCGGCAAAATAATGTGAAATTATGTGAAATGAACAGAAGTAGACCATTTGATTCAACCTGAAGAGTACGCAATTGAGGAGTCGTTTGGTGGAGAGATCCACTCGTGAAGATGGAAGCTCTGAGGAGGTCCCATGAAGCAATAAAGTTGGCACTGAAATACCAACAAAGTGCTGATTTTGAATCGTTGTGTTGCAAGTTAAACGCTGATCCTGCATTGTAGAGGTGAGAAAAACATAAGATAAGCATCCTGAAATCTGAGATGGTGACCTATATCACCATATGTCAGCTATATTGAGGTTTATCATACTTTGATTCGTTGCCCTCGCCCGTCAGATGCTGAGCAAGACATTGGCAAGATGTGGCACGACATGAATGCGCTGTGAAAGAGGATGAACAGTCGCACTTTGTTCATATTGCATACTACTCCGTAGATCTCCGTACTCTTTTCATCGAAACTCCCGAAACATCTCGAAACCAATTTCGAAGCCTGCAGCCACTGCAGCCTCACTACCTTGGATTTCTTGTTGCGGATAGCAGTCGAGTGCCTTTCCCGTCATAGGTTCTGGGATCGTGAGATCCTGAAGAGACAGTGGAGGCGCCAGAAGCTGTCCCAGCGGGTTAGACGTAGCATTTCTATGCATTTCTGACATTGTCAAATGATTTAACTTAATGTCTTTTAATTCTTTGAAGTACTTGTCCTTTGGGTGGTGACGGGGTGACTCATATTGGCAGGTTGCCCTTGGACTGTCAGCATGGCCAAGGCAAGACAACATTGCAAGCAGATCTAGAAGTTTGCTCAGGGAATCACCCAGAAATGAAGCGAAGTGATATTTTGATGACCATTGGTTATCAGGTTGCGCTTTGATCTCGCGGTCCTTGCAGGAGCTATTCCCAACTCCCAAGATGTAGACCATTTGGCGGGCCATGACCAGTGTTTTTTTCGAAAGCCAAACTTTATACTTGTGCACCGCATCGCAAGTAATTACTTAGTGGGCAAACAGTGGGCTGTACAGTCCAGGAACTCATCAGATATCATATCATCAGATACCTTCGGAGATTGAAGGACAACATTGGTGACAAAGATCCTGAAAAAGTACGAGCATTTGTCCATAAGGCAAAGAAGGGCTGGGCAGCACTGGTTCGATGTGTTGAATCCGGCATAGTGTTGAAACGGCTCCTGCAAAGTTCTCATGGCTACCTGTCAGAGGTGAAACCTATTGAGACAAGTTTACTGCAGATGTCTGCAGATACTGCAATATGGTGTTGAACCATGTCGAACCATGATGAATCTAGAGCGGGGTGGGTCATGATGAGTGTTGTATTTTGTGTTTGTGCCTCTAGCTCTTTCCGCGTTTATGCTTTGACACCCGTTACCAGGCTGGAGCTTTGATCAGGCCAGCTCAGGATTGTCAGGGTCTTGGCTGCTTCGCATGCTATCGCGATGACTGGAGTTCAATCGAGAGTCCTGGACATGAGGTGCTTCACCTGAAGCAAGTGTTTGCAGTCGGCCACCTATTGTTTGTCACCATGCCAGTCCGAAAGATCCGGTCTTATTAGATCTTCGTAGGGTATCTTAGAGTATTAAAATGGATCTCTTCTGCCTCAGGCGCAGGAACAAATCATGAGGAGGATTTGCTCTCGCTTCCGATTGCGAATCACTTCTGCAGCACGGGGACGGAGCTCACAAGTTGTCGCGCTAGCGAAAGTTGATATAGGGTTGGCCTAGGGCACTAGAAAGGCTATGCAGAGTGCGAATTGTCGGGCGCAATTGGAGCACATCGTTACATGTGACACAATGACACATCTTGCACGAAAGACATTGCCGCGACCAGATTCTTTCTGAAAAGCTAGGCAGCCAGATTGACATGGGCGGTCTCATTCCAGCTTGGGCGACCAACTACCTTTCCTCGTTTGTCGTTGGAAAGGCGGGGCAGCTTGGAATGTCATGAGATCGAAGATTCCTTTTGAGAAGCAGATGTGCAGTAAGGCACTGAGTTGGACGGAGGATTTACGGTCCTGTTCTCAATCTCTGGGAGACGATGAATCTTTTGATATGTCGAATTGTTGCAATGCGCGTTTCATGTTCGCACTTCTTCATCCTTCGTTTCGAACAATCTACTGTAGCAGTTGGAACATGTTAGAGCCTGTATATCATAGAGGTATTGCAGTTGCGTTCGGACGTTGGCTTTGGCTGAGGCGTCATTGTGCATCTCGCAAACTCCCAAGTGAGGATGCAGAGGGCTCAGCATCACCTTGCGACGCTTCACTTCAAATTCTGTAGGCTGCACGTAGAATAAAATAGAATAAATTGATATTTAAATGTAATTAATTTAGAAATTGAATGAAATTGATAAGTACATGAATTGAGTTGAATGGATATATAAATTGAATTCATATACTGCACTGATCACATCCTTGTGATCCCTTGATTCTGGACGGGGCTGTCCAAGTTTCTGGGCTCACAGGCTGACAATGTTCCAACGTTGGCTGAGATCTCCAAAGATCTCATGCCAGGCGTAGCTGTACAGGGGTACAGATGGTACGGCCTCTGGTGACTTGCTCCAGTCGTGAGTGATGTATAGTATATATATATATAATATATATGTATATATTAGTGATGGTATAATATACAAGTATAGTGATGTGACTGTTTCAAGATATCTGCCATGACATGATATTCAATGATCCGGTCGGCTTGCTGTGTTGGACAGAGCAGGTTGGACAGAGAACTGGGATGACACAGAGCTGGTCGTGCGTCTCTCAGGGTCGTTTTGGACTGTCTTGGACCTCTTTTGGATGCGGGATCCAATCGGTAAATCATGGTAAATCCATGTAAATCCATCTTGAGCCTGAACAGCCATTGAATGTGTCACCCGAGGGTACAGACGGTACAGATGTACGACCATGCTTAAGTGTTTGACATTGTTTCATTATCATCTAAAATCATCTAATCATCTACTATTCATCTAGTAAGAATCTACCATCAACCCGTACGGAATTGCCAAAGCGGTCTGCACTTTGCCAGCAGAAGCGACCCCTTGTATTCAGACCTGAGGTCCCAGAGGATGGGGACGGCTTGAGGAAAGACACATCCTTGTGGCTTCCCCAGTGGGGCCATGTTGATCATGTTGATCATGTTCATCCGTTTTCCCCCCAAGGTGTTTTGAGAACCCTGGCAGGTCACAAAGCATGGTCTTGAATGACCACTTCGCAATAAAGCCAATAGTCTCTGATCATGATATGATTAGTCGAACATAAGAGTGTCTCGTCGGACGCAGAGCTCGGATGAACCGGTCAATGTATATGTTTATCATAGTTGTATCATGTATTATTCGTTGCACCCGCCTTTTTTTTTGAGTCTGTCACAACAGCATACAGCAACTATCACTGCAGCTTCAGTGGCCAACAGCACCAGCATAAATGGATAACCGAGTCAAGTGCAATGGAAAACCAAGATACAAATGAAGACCATTGGAGGATTTCAGACTAAGGGCTCACAGCACTTCAGGATCTTAAGATATCCGTAGAAAAATCCTAAGATTCTTGAGGAATCTCGCATAGGATTCATAAGGATATGTGAGCAGGGCACGGGCAATACAACAATACACAACAACAAGATCTTCAAGACTAGAGGAAATATTGTTGCATATGTTTCTGATGTCCGTCTCTTGGTTTTTGCCATGGCCAAGATCTCATGCAGGTCATTTGTGCCCGTTTTAGTCAGTCGCTCGGTGTCTCGACTTCGGAGACTTGGACAGTACGGCCAGGATTTCGGCTCCGAAATCCTGGCATTTTGTCTCCAACCCACTGGACATGTTGCAGTCTTTGCTTTGGATCCCGAATCCTAAGACGGAACCGACTGAACCGTAAAGCTTTGAGGCAAAGACACACTAGGCACCATGTGCACATTGGAAGTGCCCTGGCGAGAAGAGCTTCTGAGACACGGCAGACTGCTTTACTTGTTGATGCGGATCAGCACATCCGATTGGAAGATGATCTTGCAAATGCGCTTCTCACTCTAGTTCGAGAGGGAAAGTTTGTGAGGACCACAGTTTTCGGCGCTTTCTCTGACAGGACCAGGCAACGTTTGAGCACGTCTCCAAAGTTGAGACAATACTGCCAGTACGGAAAAGATTTCCACGTCCGTGAGGTGCCGCGCCTCGGAAATGAAGGGCAGCCAAATGATGAGGCGATCATCCATGAAGTCCGCATGCTCTCAGAGCAATCCATTCAGGTTGAGTGCATAGCGCTGTTAGTCTCAGACGGAGACTTTGCGCTTGCAGTCCAGGATGCTGTGTCACATGGCAAGGAGGTCGTTGTCTTCGTGCCAGAGATGAACCCTGCTGTTGAGAAGGTCTTCCACTCCACTGGCGCCAGGGTGGTGAGGCTACCGCCACACACCGCCTCGGAAGCCCGAGCCTCAAAGATTCGGGCAACACTCAAAGCTGAGGGCACTGGATATGTAAAGACAACTGGGCCAGTTCTTTACAAGCAGTTGGACTCATCTTCAATGCGCGATTTTCTGTCACACTTCAGCTATTGCGCACCAGATGCACGTCCTGATTTGCTGTGCCCAGCCATGGCCAAGTTTTGGTTCACAAACAAACTTGGAGACGCCTTTACCGTTTACCCATACCAAGCCGCGGTGTTGGACTTGAAAAGGATGCTAATCGAGCATCATGGTCGTCAATGGGAACCATACCAGCAAAATCTAGCCTTTTTCTTGCCCACTAAGGGCGGGAGACGCCCCAGCAAAGAAGCGAGAGAGAATTATGGCCCTGGCTTCGGACTGAGTGTCCATGAGGGCGGTGGGCCTTTCATGCTCAATGACTCTGACAACTTAGTTTCAGAAGCATTGCAGAAGCTTGGCTTCTTGGATCAGGACCTGAATTCTGACGTTGTGGAAGCAATGCTTGTCTTTTGCAACACGTCGAACAACAAAGGCGCATTACTTCGCATGGGTTTACTCCCCTCCTCGGCTTCAACTGCGCTGCAGAACCTGCGGCAAGCATTTCTCTCCTCATCGACTGGAATGTGGGAGGGCCCACCATCAGACGTGCAAGTGCGCATGCTTCTGGCGCAGAAAGAGTTATTGGCAAAAGATTCAACGAACAAGCAGCTGGTTTTTTGGACCATGAAATCCTATGCGCAGAACCATGGACTGCCTGAAATGAGCAGCTACCATGGACTTGTTTGGAGAATTCTCCGTAGTGTGGATCGCAACCCTCGGCAGCGGGGAACAGTTGAGTTTGCGGAGTGCAAAAAGTGTGCAATAGCGGTGATCTTATCTCATCTCGGCAGCTGCCATAAAGCCCATAGAGGTAGCGGCGGACAGCCGCAACATAAAGTGCCTTCACGTCTCTGACATTTCCAAATCAGTTGAGCAAGGGATTACTGATTACTGTATCCTTTTATATGATGCAGGCCAAAGTGATGTTTCCGAAAATGTATGAAACTGTTGAAACTGTGTTGTTCGTGTTGGAGTGTTCCAGTAAACAGGATTAAACAGGAACATGTTGCTGGTTGATTACTTGACTCAACTCCTGTCCAAGCCCGCCCAGGACATCTATGGCATGGTCTCACTTTTGGAGTAGTGGCGAGTTGTCCAGCTGAACTTCAGCTGACAGTCTTTTAGTTGAACACAAAAAGTTTCATTAAGTGCAGTGACCGCACGGTCATGAGCCAGACGCAGATGCAAAATGATGCAAATGCATTCTGAATGAAGGCATGTTGCTTTTAAGAGTGCGGTTTGCTTCGTCATGAAGCGCCCTCTATGCTGCATTAAGTTCTTGTGTTTTCAAGAGCCTTCTTTTGGGGCCACAAGGGTCCTGGACCTCAACACGGCCGAAACAAATTGGATCAAATTGGTCTTCCAAAATCTTCCAAATCTTTATGATGCTGACCGAGAGCAGCTGAAAGATATCTTTTATTTTAAATTCTTTTAATATCTTATGAGAGATTCTTTGCTTGACTTTCTTCATTCTTCCGGCCTGTTTAAGCCTTTGCTTGCTGCATTTCAAGAGGAAGTCGCAGGAGTGGCGCAAACTATGCGCAAAGTTGTTAGTGACTGTCAGCCTTTCGATTCAATACTGCATCCATCGAAGGGATCAGAACAAGCATGGAGAAGCTGGATTGCAGGACAAGTTGAAACAAAACTCGCATGAATCAACAGGCATAAATAGATACTGAGAGAGGATGAGAGATGTACAAACAAATTTCAGGTAAAGACGGTACAGTATTTAGTTATAAATAGTTATAATATATATGTGAGTAGTTATAGATACACTGCAAACAGCTGCAATGGCTGAAGCTGTGTAAGTTTTCCCCAAGAGTCCGAGCAGCCCATGCCTTCCAGAATGCGAATGTATTCAGAATTGGCAGCGTCAATATGCGTCAATTCTATTGTGGCCAGAAGGTGCAAATCAAATGCACCATACTGCTTCTCTTTTAGACAGATCGTTGCAGATGCGGAAGCCACACCCGCACTTAGAACATCTTAGAACAAAAAGGGGCGATGTGCTTCGGTCGAGGTCAAAGTTTTCAGACGCGGAATTGTCGAGGCGGCCGAAGCACATCTACAGTCTACAGAGCATAAGTGTGCTAGTTGTTGCATTGTCTTCAGCACGAGAAATCCTTGTCACGCGCACGCGCAGACACACGCACACAAACACACACACACAACACAACACAGACACAAGCAAGTTGAGAAGCCAATCACAAGTACCTGGAGATGTTTCTTCCAACACATTGAAAAGATCACGCATGAAAGATAAGATTGCAAAAGCATGATGCTTTGGGCCAGAAAACCAAACGGCAATCTCCAGACAAACAACCGCTGGAGTTGGTTCAGCTAGGCAGCTTGGATCCTGCACTCTTTGCACACTCAGAATCTCACGCATAACAGAGGAGTAACAGGGTCCAACATCCGCAAATGAGCTCAATGATGTCCAGTGCCAAATGATTGCCAAATGTATATGCGCAAAGCTTGGTTCCAAAATTCCAAAACATGAGACATGAATGGACATGAATAGACATGATATGATAAGATATGACAACTTGTGGTTCGTTGCTGCGGACTCTCTTGGCCACCATGTGCCATGCGACGATGTGCCGTGCGACAAGTGCTGACATGGGCATCCCGGCCCATGCATTTGAGAAAGCCTTCACCAACATTTTCATGGGCAAGCTGCTTGGATTCCTCACTGGTCCCTCCTATCGCAACACTTCAAGCAACACCTACGCACGTACGCACAAGGATCACAATTTGATAGATAATTAATATATGATAATATGCAATCACACATAAACAGACGAATACAATGTAATTTGCAGTTGGCACGAGGTATGCATGTTCGTTTTCAGGTAGTATTGTTTCCGATTGCAGAGGAAAAATACTATGCCAGCCTGCCTGCATTGTCCTACATTTTTGTGGCTGCCGGTTTTTTTTCCTTGGTGTATGTTTCCCACTGTTGGTGCTTTTGGTCCTTCGGTCCAACCTCAGCCCTTTGCAAAACTGCATGAGGCCTGCTCAAAATACCGATATGCTCACCCACGCTCGCCCACCCACAGACAGTGGTGGATTCACACACACACAGACAATCCCACATGCATGCGCTAGTCATGCGCACTCTACTTGCCAGTGGTCATATATCGAGAACATGTTACATGTTCCTTTTGAAATCCTTTGGGTTGTGTTTCTGTCTGTTGCTGTTTTTGGTGGCTGTGGTGTTGACGCCCCGCTCATATTAAGGCCGGCAAGCCAGCAATCACAGTCACAGTGGGGAGACATTACGATGCAGTAACTTTGCAGCAATCGTGTGAAAGCCACTTAGCAGCTTCGCTGGCCAGATGCAAAGACAACATTCTCAGTGCATGTTTTTGTGAGTGTGGTTCTTTTCCAGGAAAAATGGATCCTTGCCATTCGGAAGCTAAGGTAGCAACACTGATGTAGCACGATTGGCTGCCTCTATCAAGCACAGGATACTGGAGTGCGAGACTTGTGAGATAGACTGTTTGGGACCTGAGTCCATTTTCAGATCTTTGAGCGCAATGCATTTGGCAATGGTCTTCGTGAAGAGGGAAAGGTCAGAGGAGCGCACTCTTTGTTTGCGCCCTGAAGAGATGCATGTGACCAGTGGGGACACGCAAGACTTTTCTGATGCAGATCAGATTGGAGAAGATGCTGTGCCAAAGCCATCCAGTTTTTTTTTGGGTGGGCATGTTGTTCAACTGTCACACGTTTTCTCCAGTCCGTGCTTCCAGTAGCTGCCGGTTGAATGGAGCCTTCATCGAAAATGTTGAGAGTATCTGAGGGTATGATTTGGCCGTATTTGTATGCAGGACATGTAGGTTGTGACGGGTCACCACAACCAGAGACACATGCCCGCACCTGGCTTTTGCAGCAGCTGAGGATGCCAAGGGTAGAAGAGAGACCTTGCTGAGAATGCGTATCAATGTGTTCTTGAGCAATTGGCACCCTTTGGCTCTTGAATCTGAATCCGAGTTCCTTGTTGGCCCTGCTACTGGGTGGCATCTTGTGATTTTGCGTCAGTAAGCCATCAACGGGCCTGGCCTGGCCCGGTGAAATAGTTGCAGGGATTATTCGTTTTTGAGTTTCTGTCGAAATGGGGCAATGAGAATTGTTCACATTTTAAGTCATTGACATTCATTGACTGTAATAGAAGTTGAGGTTGGCATCACGGGTGGTTGTAAACTTATGATAAATGATTGTACATGAACACTGTGGAACATTATTGAACACTATACTGAACCTTCTTGGAAGATTCGGTCCGGGAGGCGACGCACGTTGGCCTTGCAGCTGGGCTTTTCGCATCACTTCTGAAGAACGGAGAAGAGGTGGTGGTCGGAGCAGGTCGTGCACCTGCGGCTGCTCGGGCCATCAAGGTGGGAACGGTAGAGGCTTCCACGATTCCACATGATTCCACTATCGCATTGCGTCGCATTCTCTGATTCTTTGATATTTCGATATATGCATATATATCATATATATATAGATAGATAGATATTAATATATTCTATGACACTTCATGACCATCCATGATCCCAACCATTGCCAAAACAAGATTTCAACCTATATTCAACATATTTCAATCTGTAGAGGGAAGAGCAAAATACAGAAAGATCAAAAAGAAGATCAATGAGTTGGCAGGCCTTATGCCCTCACATGTCTTGGCATATCTTGACATCTTGATCATGGATGATCATGGATCAGTTGAGCATATTTGAGCGTTCAGGTGTTAGCAGCTACCAACGTGTATTTGACAAAGCAGGGGGTTCTGGCTGACAAGATCTTCTTAGTAGCGCTTCGCTGGGACCGAGCACCCCGTGGCTATGTGAACAGAGCACCTTGGAGGCAAATCTACGAGAACGCAAACCGCAGACTTATCAAGAAAACATTCTATGATCATATATTGCATAATATACTTACTACATCTTACTAATTCTTAAAACATATTATTTTGTTCCCGTGTTCTTAGGGCCTGTTTTCCTAGTCATGCGTGATCCCTGGCCCGTGGATGAAAGCGGAGTTTTGTCAGTTGTGACCTTCCTGAAATCACATCCCAACAAGCCAGGTTATACTCACCAGCACATTGCAGAAGAACATCTGAAACGCGCCCAACACACAGCAGGATGCCAGATGCTCTGAAGATAATGAGAGTATATAGATTCTTTCTGATGTGCACGCCGTCCGTCAACTTTCACAAGATGCCAGCTCATGCGTCAGTGCACCCACAAGACTGATGTGATGTCTCAGGGAGCTCCTAGTGGTCGTAGTGTGTGATGCGCTATCACGGAAATGTCACGATGAGCAGATAGTGAGCACCTTTCCGGAGACGATGCAGCTCGGGAAGCCGTCGGGCCGCTGAGAGGAAGGTGACGTTGGAAAGTGTGTCATATAGTCATAGATGATCATAGATGCCACCAGCCAGCGTTACCTTGCACCAAAAAAAGGCACCAAAAATCATGCCATGACCAGGAGACGTCCATTCCATGTTGCTAGGTTGGTCCAGCCATGTCCAGCTGGAGTGCTCCATCATCGTGCTGTGCTCTCCACATCTCTCCACCAGTCCCTGTGTCAAGCCCCACGGTGACCTGTGGGTGATCTAGATACAGTATCTCACATCGACATCCAGAAAACAGGAAGATCATAAACACACGAACACTCACGAACATTAAGCTGAACACTTTCAATTGAGGTGCCATTTGCATTCCATTTGCATCCATTTGCTGCGAGTCTTCAAACTCTTGGAAGCTCACCTTGAAGTACTCTGTCAGAATGTTCGTCCAACAGTTCCAAGACCCCGAAACCTGGTGATATCAACTTCGCTCCAGCTCTTCAGCCGGTCCTTAAGCCATGCAATGGTCAACATCCCTCCGCTTCCTCATGGTGCGTGGCCGGACTTGGCACCGGAACTGGTGGCCTCGGAACGTCATGAAGGCTTCGACTGCGGGATGGCCAAACTTATCCAAGAGAAAAAGCAACGAAAACAAAACACCAGGTTCTGCCAAATGATTGGCGATTTTCTTGGAAGAGTTTAGTTTTGCTAATAGCAGCCGAGACATGAGCAAGATAAGAAGTCATGAGAAACATGTGATGCAAGACTTGCGAGTCTGTCGGTGCCACGATAGTCTTGAGGTGATTCTTCACATAGGCCCAGGAGGAGAGGACATGGCAAGTCGCATCACAGTGTCTCGGCAACCTCCTGGATGTTTTCTAAGGTATGAAGGTGAATGAGATAGCCACAGTATATCATTTTCAATCAAGCCCATAATTTGCTTGCCCCAAAAGTGGATAAGTTGGCCTGCTTGCTCTCTCATGATTAATTATAGAATGGGCTAGCGCCCTGGTGCCGCCGACCCCCCTATTTGGGGGGTCCTGTAGAGAGAGGGAGAGAGAGAGAGAGGGAGAAACATAGATAGATAGGTAGATAGATAGATCGATACATAGAGAGATAGATAGATACAGAGAGAGAGAGAGAGAGATAGATAGATAGATAGATAGATAGATAGATAGATAGATAGATAGATAGATAGATGGCTAGACAGATTGATAGATAGATAGGTAGATAGATAGATAGGTAGATAGATAGATAGATCAATGGATAGATAGATAGATAGATAGATAGATTGATAGATAGATAGATAGATGGCTAGATAGATAGATAGATAGATGGCTAGATAGATTGGGAGATAGATAGATAGATAGGTAGATAGAAAGACAGATAGACAGATAGACAGGTAGACAGTTAGACAGATAGACAGATGAAAGAGAGAGAGAGAGAGAGAAATAGATTAGATTAGATAGATAGATAGATAGATAGATCGATAGATCGATAGATCGATAGATCGATAGATCGATAGATATAGATATAGATAGATATGTGAAAGAGCCTGGAAGCTCCTTTCAACACTGGCAGCGGCAATTCCCTGAATTGCTAAGGGGGTGTTCCCAACACCTGAGATATCAAAGGATGTCAAATGAAAGAGGATCCCTGTCCAATAGGTCAAAATCCCGCAGCTCCCAGTGTTTTTCCCAGCAACACGGCTCGCGATATGGCACCAGTCAGACAACCCTGTCGTCTGCCTCATCCACAACCCTCCGCTGGCACTTGGGACGCGAATGACAGCGGCACATGGAGTTATGACAGTGAACCCTGGCAAATACGTGTCACATCAAGCTCAGCTGTAACTGGTCAAATCACATTCCTCTAAACTCTTTTGATGAGACACACCGTTGGTTGCAGTGTTCTGTTCTTTCAACCAGCGAACAGCTTGCTTTCTGTGAGCATTTCGTTCCAATGAATCCTCTTCATCATGTAATTGGAAACAGCCTGATGCCAGAACTTGTCGTAACAATATAGGATCCATCGGCTTTGTCAAAGCGTCAGCGACTTGCAGTGAAGTTGGAATCCATCGAAATTGACTGTGTTCCAAACATCGTTCTCGGATTAGCAAAACTTCTAATGTTGTTCTGGATTCCTCACATGAAGGGATTGCGGTTCTGCTCACTAAATCATAGAGACTCTTGCAGTCAGTTACAATAGTGGCCATTGGAAGCTGCTGAAATCCTTGTTTGGGTTCTCTCCACGCAAAGTTGTCAATGTTAATGGTACCCCAAAGCAAACGCATCCATCCAAGTCGGTCAACAGAGTTTGACATAGAGAATGCTTCTGCTGATAAGGTTGATCTCACCACTCGTGCTATCTTTTTGGATACCCAGGTTAGAGGACTAAGTGGTGCTTTCTGGTTCTTTGCTAAGTCCAGGTTGGTGGCACAAACTATTGTTCCTTGAAATGAGGCCAACTGCTTTGAACTTGCAAATGACGCGTCTCCAAAGCTCACATGGGTCAGCTGATTTACTGGAATGTTGCGAAAGCACAGTTTCACATGACTATGTTCTTGAGCTTCCCGGAGAACACGATTAGCAAGTAATAGGGTTTGGACAGTGGCTTTTGAAACTTGAACTTGCACTTCCCCTAATTTGGCTGCCATGTCTGGTCGGGTATGGGAAACGGCATATTGTAGACTCCCAATTAAACCTCGTAGCTTACTGAGTTCACCTTCCGTCACTGAAGATTCAGGCGTTTGGCGACGATGACGTCCCACATCAATGGCTGGGATCCCTCGGACATATTCTTCTTGAGATGCCATGATACTACCATCAGGAAGTTGGTCAAGCAAAATACCTGTGAAAACAAATTTCCGCTGTTTGAAAGTTCCAAATGGTAATACCTCCTTCAAGGCTTCCAGCTGTTTGTGGAAAAACTTGTCACCCCCGCATATTCCATCATCAACGTGGGTCCCAATGACACCATGCAATGTCCTGGAGCCATTCTTGACAGTTTCCAAAATAAATACACATGGTTCCAGTGGGTGGCGTTTGAACTGTAACTTCTGAAGCTGTTTGGAAAACTCTTTGTAAAATAAGAGAGGAGCATCAACCCTGCCGTAGGCATTTCCAACCAGTGAACATACCTGATCAGTAGTCAAATTCAGTTTCTTTCGAAGCTCCACGGGAGGTTCCATGGCCAGGGGATTGTCTTGGGCAGACTGACCTCGCAGGAATGCAGTCTTAATGTCAAAGGATGACAATTCCCAGCCTCTACTGGCAATGGTTTGGAGGACAGTGTGTCTTCCTTCTCGCGTTAATGTTGGAGAGTCACGAGCTACTTCACAGAGTTTTGGATCTTGAAAACCAAGGACAACCAATCGTGCTTTGGCCTTTCTTTGGGGCTTTTGACTGTCTTCCTCATTGATATTTTTCCATGTAAGAATCCATCGACTCTTTAGGATTTGTTCAGGATTAAGGTGACGTCTCAAGATAGGCTTCAGTGCATTGGTTTGTATCCAACAGTTTAATTCTGCATCCTTTGCTTTTTCAAACTGTATTTTCTCTTCTAGCGTCAAGTTTTTCACACAAACCTCTGCTTTTGCTCTTTTTCCAACACTCGCTACCCATGCCATTTCTTCAGGCTTTTCGGCGGCTGACCACTTCAGGACATCGGACTCGGACAGATCAATGGACAAGGCAAAACATTGTTGTTCATCGCATGCAAGAGGGGTATCTAGCATTGGAAGGCCATCCTCAGCTAATAACACTTCGTGCTCTGACTGATTGCTTTGCAAAATTGTCCAATCATATAAAATGTCCCCATCAGAGTCCTCGGCTACTGAACTACATTGCAAAATTGGCATGGCGTCGGCGGCTGCGGCATGCGGATTGCTCTCTTCTGGATCTAGATCAATGGGTTCATCAGGCACGGCCGCTGGAAAATCCTGATTTTCATTTTCGGTTGAAAGTGGGGCAGGCAATTCATGACTTGGTTCAGGAAATGTTTCACTTTCGGGTTGTGTGGAAGAATGGGGTGTGGCTAGTTGGCTTGGTGGATTTCGGAAAATTCCTTCACTAGGTGCAATACTTGCTTCATATTCTAGGGATTCAGCTGGCGTGACTGGAGCCCTTTGGGTTTCTTCAACCGTGGGTAACTCAGGAACCCAAATCTGAGATGATCCATGGACTGAGCTCCATTCTCGCAGCGATGCTGGGCGAATGCTCTCGGGAGCACATTTGAACAACCTTTCAGCATGGGACAACCAAACTGCTGACGGGCTTTCTTGATGGATCACCCGCGCGGGACCATGCCATCGTCCAGTCTCTTGCCGGCTAGTTCGATGTCTTCGTATCCAGTACATAACCAGTTGACCTGGTGTATATGGTCCTCGCATGGGGCAAGACCTACGCAAGAGAGCTCTTCGGATGGCTTGATTATTGTCCGTCAAAAGAAAAGCTTTGCGGGCTTGAGTCCTGATTTCCAAAGACCTTCGGAAAAACTCACTTTCAGGTTCATTTCCCATGGCAAGCAAGTGTGAGTCTGCACTGTCATCAGAGGTTAAGCTTGCTGGTAGTTTTTGAGACTTTCCAAGTACTATTTGTTCAGGGGAAAATCCGCCATTACGGGTAAGTGAGTTCTTGGCTTGAAAGCAGGACATCAGCACACGGTCAAAATCTTGCAATGTCTCTATGGATTGTTCCTGATCACAGCGAGACAGCATGCGCTTGATTACTTGGCCATGTCGCTCAAGACGGCCACGCTGCCAAGCTTCAGTGGATATCAAAGGCTCGATGTCATGATTCCTCAAGAGTTCTTTCCATTCATTTGAAATGAATTCCCCAGCTGGGTCAGTGTAGATCTGGTTGGGATTTCCGGCCCATGATGTCCAAAAATTTGTCCAGGTACCTATGACTTGGTCTGGATTTCGGGTTTCACATCGTCGGCCAAGATGAAACAACGAAGCCTCATCAATGCAGTGAAAAACATGAACTCGAAAGCCTTTGGAACCGGACCAATAGAAACCGTCCATGCCTACCAAGTCATTGAAGTCTTTGGCCTCATGCAATTTGGCGGGTCGTTGATGCTTTCGGCCAACGGATTCGACACAGGCATCGCAAACAAACTCCCTTGCAGCAGCGACTACATGTGGTGGAGCATTCTGAGCTTTCAGGTGTTCAGCCAACACATTTGGATCAGGATGACCTAAATTGGTGTGAAGTTTCTTTAAGTCTGCTCTTTCTTGAGGCTCCAAATCACGAAACTTTGGACCTTGAATAGCAATTGGGGGAGGTGCCCATCCATCAAATTGAGTAGGTGGCTGGAATCCGGAAGCTCTGACAACTGCCTCTTCCTTGGGAACTGGCCTAGGGATTACTCCCCTGGCTTCGGGAACCGGTCTAGGCAGACTGTCCGGAGGCTTTACACTTGCTTCCGCATGAACCTTGGGTTCTTCTATCAATGTGCCAAAACTGGTGATCATCAACTTGGATGGGACTGCAGCTCGAATACGTTGCGCTCGTTTCAAAACCAACCAATCTTCAAAACCAAAATCATGAATCATCCCTGTACTTCTGTGAATACAGACTGTATGACGAATGCTGTTGTGATTTCGATCAGGTAGATCCAAGGGCAATTGAAATCTCTCAGTCCCACGGCACACATAAATAACCTGAAGGTTCAAATGCGGCACCATGGCTTGCACAAGACGCGCAGCTTCATGGGAAGCGTCAATTCGTAGATTGCCAACTCTTGGGGCCAATGTTTCCATGAGCTGGAACACATGTCTCCAGGGTTCGGACACTGGAGACTCTTGGGACATTGGACGAGCTGCTTCCTCGTTCGGACGAGGGACCAT